CTGCACTGCTCTCAAAGGAAACCCCCCTGACAGCCTGGCGTGCTGCTGGCAGCACAGGTGACCCCGGGGGGGGCCCGCTGCTTCTGCGAACACGAGGAAAGCCCCCACGGGAACGCAGAAGCAAGCGGGGGGCTCGCGGTGCATAGGAGAAGAGAAATTCTGCGGTGTATGTACACTGCACGGCCGTCAGTCGTTCTGTGTGCTCCGCTCACCGGCGAAACCTGAAACATGAACGGGAGAAACTCAGGCCGTCCGCAGTGTTCTGCGGCAGCAGCCAGCACCTCCAACCCAAAGAAACAAATAAATAAACCCTTTATGCATGAGGAAACAGAGTTGTTTCAAGAATTACAGCAAAGTTGGGCGTATGAAACGAGCGCCCGTCTACCGGTGGCAGACGAAGAAACCTGTGGGAAAGCGCAGGTTATAGCATATCACCAAGAAGCTGAAACATAAAAAATAATCATTAATTTAATAATATCTCCATATTTCGAACAAATACGATCAAGAATTCATCTTTTGTATCACCAGCTCATGCGGTGTTGCACGGGCGTGCCATTGGCCCGACCGAAACCGGCCGCTGGCTTTTATGCACGATGGACGTTCAAATTAAAGTTGTTTTGCTTTCTTTTGCTTTTTTTTATTTTTTATTTATTTATTTATATTTGCCGCTAATTTATTAGCTTGTTCTTCTCTTTTTTTGATGAACAGGCGCGGCACGTGCAAGTTTCTGCGGCCATAGCTGCACAGCGCCTCGTTCTCTGTAGCCGATCAGAGGAAACTGTACTCTTGAATTCAATCAATCTTTAAATATTTTAAAAGTTATAAAAATTTAATTATTTTAAAATATAAAAAATATTAATTTCATGTTTTTCGCATTTTCCGCTGTCTCGTGACCCTCTGCTGCGCATGCATCCGCGTGCAAGAAGAAAGCAGGAAACACGAAAGAGAAAGCTATACCCATATAAAGAATAAACCCAAAAAAAAACAACTTATTTCTCACTTTATTGAGAAATATAAATCACAAAAATTATTTATTTTTTTTAGGTTTTCTGAGTTGCTGCGAAGAGTTTGTATGCGGGGGGTTTCGGTTCAGTATCGAAGGAAGCGGCCACCCACACCCCTACAACAACTGCTGCACAAATCTACGCTTTTTCTCTTCTTTAAACACTTTTTTTGCATAAAATAAATTAAATTAAATTTTTAATTTAAAATTAAAACTTTAAATTCCCTGAAAATGCAGTATTTCGCCGCGAAACGCCCCAGAACGCACACCCCTACCCCTGCGTAAACAGCTGTTTTATATTCTTTATAGTTTTCTGCTTATTAAGTAAATCAAATTGTTATTACTATAGCTTACATTGTTATAATTATATTATATATTATATATATAAA